GGGTGGCACCCAGTTGGACACGGCTCAATTGAACACGAGCCACTCACAGTGCTTGAGATTACAAAGCTCCTAAGCACCGGTCGCTGTGATTGGTGGTGTCCAATCGAGACGTGGTCAATCGGGATCATCCCACTTTCTTTATGCACATGTTTATGCAGCTATGCAAGTTGTGTGGAATGGCCCTTAACCGCAAAATGCTGCCGCACACTACTGTCCCCTGACAAAGTGGATGTAAACAACATAGCAAGATCCACTTTTCTGAAGGTACATACGTCCACTTTTCAAGGCTGCAAATAATAAATCGATATTTCGTTCATATAATCGTGCTACATTCACAAACTGTGGATCAAAAATATTCATCTCTGCGATCTTACATGCGCGTGATGTTTATTTCGCTTAAAAGTATTAACATTAAAGTTTTGCAGATTAAGTTTTTAAATTTTTAATTTTAACAATTTTAAAAAATTTAATTAGTGTGATCTCGTTTATATCGCTCCGATTATTTTTGTTGATTCTTAAGAATTAAATTTCTACTTATTTTTTTAGATCTTTGCTAACGTCGGTAATTTTTTAAGGTGGAACATTAACCTACGATCGATAAAAATGGCTGGTGACTTATCCGACTATTGGTAAATACAAATTCCATTATCAACATCTGCATTGATATCGTATCGTACGAACGACATTTATTTTTCGGGAATGTATCGCGATCATCGTATATTGTCAGTGCGAATGTCAACGAAAACAAAGCTGGGAAAAATGTGCCGTAGTAATGCGACGTTTATCGTGCTCTCGTTATTTCTGATATTCTTTTGCAATACGACGTCATCAGAATGCGTGCAGGAGGCACCTTGCATTTGCTCGTTGCCTGACGGCTATTATTACAATTTGACCGCCTTCGCTGACGCAAAGTTGGTAGATTAACTATTAACCTCCAACCGTCCTCGGACTTCTCTTTGTTTTTACGTCTTACGTTCATTATCTAATTCCTATAGAAAAAGAAAAAAATATTAGTACCAATTATTCATCCTCTTGCATGGAAAAAATTTTGAAGTAATTAATTAAATAAGCAATGAAAAATGTTTTAATCCTATTAATTTTGTGTGTCATTATTTTAGAATTTTAGTATTTATTTAATTTCTTATTTTTATAGATACAACATATTTGATTTTTTTATATGTTTGCCATTTAATAGTGTTTTCCACTGGGAAAACTAGTGCAACACTACAATTAAGTACAAATTAGTTTACTTATTTTCAGTATGAATAATTTAATCCTTTTAATGTTATGAGGTTTTCACGACAACAAGGAAAAAACATGTAATTAAAAGAATATGTAGTTGAATTATTTATTAACACTAAAAAAATATACATTGATTTGTATTCAACTGTACTCGGTGTTGCACTAGTTTTCTCAGAGAAAAACGCTATAAAGATTTAAACATGTATTTATTATATACTTTATATTTTTAATGTTCATTTAAAATGTATCTAATATTTATAGAACAGTGTATTATATAGAATATTAATTGATCAATTAATTAATTTTCAGGTCATTTTCAGTTAAAAATGATAATTATACAATCTACTTTCATCCATGCACAAATGTAAATATGACGATAGAGAACAAGGCAAATTGCTCTACGGAAAATGTATCAGTAAGATTTAAAGCGATTTTGATCAATTTAAGAAAAGCGTTATTCCATTATTTGCATTATGCATTGATGTTTCTATGGTATCTCTCAAATAAATATCATATTCTTGTAGATATGTATACTGCACAATAATGTAAATAAAACGGTATTAACTACTGGGACAGTAAAAGAAACAAGAATGAAATTATCGGATAATGGCAAATTTCCATTTTTTGAAATACATCATAATGACACTAACATTATAATAAACATTGTATGCTCTATGGCAGACAAAGGATTGAGTACTTTTGTACTTGTTTCTATTACCGCTAAAACATATGTAAGTATGAAAATAGCAATAATATTGTCTATTATTATGATGATATGTATAAGTTAATTAATTGCTGATAATATTTGTAGTATTTTCAACTGGTTTCACCATATGGATGTAAATTACAACGAGAAATGGGATTATCTACGGGTTCACTTTTAGTTATTCTGTTCTTTGTCAGCGTTGGCGTATATTTCATTGGTGGTATTATAGTGCTGAAAGCATTGAGGGGAGCTACAGGCTGGGAGATGGTGCCTAATCACGAATTCTGGTGCAAACTTCCGTCGCTAGTCAGAGTAAGTGACCGCGATACTTCTAGTAAGATGATTATAGCTCTACTTGATCAAGAGTATTATCGTTCCGCCTTTTTGCAGGATGGCGTCGTCTTTGCCTTCAATTGTTGTCGAGCGGACAGTTACGAGAGAATATAATATGTTTTTGTTAAACTGATCTGATTTCATATTTATTAAGCGCCCAAATTTTATCGCAATTTAGTGTATTATAAATAGTCCATTTGTATTCCAAATATTTTTTCCGCCCCTATTTCTGTTTGTATTACTTTAAGATTTTGTATATTTAACTCTTAACAGAGTTCAAATAGTTAAGAATATCCGTCGTGTAAATTAATTTGATAAATTGTTTGCATTCAGTTTACTTATATTTTACATTCAACTTCGGTATTTCTGTTGCTTTTGATATTTGTTTATCATGTTAAAGAGCACAGTGTATATACATTGAAAGATGTGATATCTCATTACGCAATGTCACGTGCCAATGCTATTTTTTTATGAGATAGACATTTCAATTTAATTTGATGCGTAATCAATTTATTTGTGTGCACTTGTTGCAAGCTGTATAATTAATATCTGAGCATCAAATTATACACCAAAGAACTCGTTGGTCTCTCCAAACATTGGATGTTCTTGTTTCAAAGTACAATCTAATTTTCTTGGAAAAATAACGGTAAAAACGATCATTTAAGATAATATTAATGATATATGTTTGTAGGATCATATTTTGACTGCAAGGGCCTAGACGTTAAAATCGGACATTTCTATGAATATGCTATTTTTCTCCATGAGCATTTTTTCTCTATAAATATATTTTTTATAGAATTTTTACTAACATTAGTGAACCTATTCAAGATGAACTTTTTCTACACTTAGAGTAGAGTTCTTATCTCTTTTATACAAGCAATTGTTCGTTTGTATATAGACGCTTAGACCCTTCAGTCAGTAATGACACAGAAACGGTGATTTGATAAAATGTGATGTTTTATTAACAAAGTCTTTAATAATATAAAAATATAAATACCTCTATAGACACATTTTATATACTTTTTTTTACATTTCTACATGCGTACGTATGTAAAAAGTATAACGACTTATTTGCTAACGATTAATACATATATATGCTATTTATGATGAAACTAGAGCATGTTACACCTATATTTTTTTATATATAATTTGTTTCTTAAAAAAAAAACTAAATACTTGTAATATGTATTAGAAATGTTGATTTTTAGCTGGCTTTTCTTATTCATCTACTTTGATAATCAGATAATAAATAATGACATATTATATAAATGGAGTTTACATAATTGAAAAGACACGTATTTCTAGAGTAAGCTCCGGCCTCCACAAGAACTACCCGCATTTTTTAGCAATTGAACAATACTGGATTCTTCAAAATTCGGGCTTTATTCCTTGAGATGAGATTCCCATCTCATCTCAAGGATCACTCATTGTCAGTATGTCTCTCTTGGAAGCACGCAATTGCGCTCAAAAGCTCTCAATTTCGTCCACTTGAATTGAGACCTGCTGATCGGTGTGAATGATGACCCAGCTGCCATTGGCATTCAAATTGTGAATGTTGATGCTTTTCGACGAGAAAACGTTTACGATACTGGCGAGATCCTGTACTCGATTTGCCCGATATAAACAAATGTAGTCCCTGAGCACGATGCCGTTGCTAAAAACTGCGTCGTCCAAAGCGAGCAACAGCGATTGATTGTCACGCACGGTTCCTGTAATTACACAATGACATCACTAATGTAATGTTCAATTGAAGATGATTCAGAATATATGTACTTCGTTCTATTTGATAACATAGATATATTATGTAAAATATAATGCGCAATAAAAAACTGTTAAAAATTTTAATTTAAAAACTTCGAAAAATTTCGCTGGAATTCTAGATAGCTCTTCAAGAAACTTAATTAAAAACTTGAAATTTTTAAATAATAGTGACAAAAATAAAAAAATTCTAGCAATATACGTCTCAGTTGTCGGATAGAAATATTTTCAACTTCTACGGCTTAAAATTCTGTTTTCGGTCTTAATTTTGATCTTTACTAATCACCTTCTGAAAGTGGAGTATTAATTTCACAGATTCCTTGAATTAAAATCTAATTTTTTTCACGATATTAAATTATAGTATTACCTTTGATGATATGTTCTCCAACTTTCACGATGACCGCTTTATGATCATCTTCGACGTGGCCCTCTTGCAATTCTACGCCAATATCTTGTGCCAGAGTGGGCGCATTAACTAGATTCAAGCCATTCTTCGTCTGACCGGTTAATATACCGACCAGAACGGCTGTGTGTATGAACTTTTTGTCCTGCATGCCATTTCCCACGGTGCGGCTGTGAATTACTGTATTTAGTTTGCCCTTGAGGAAGCGACCGGCTAATTGACCCAATTTCTTTGACAATTCGATCCAAGGTTCGTTCTCGGCTGTCATAGCGGCAGATAAGACCGGGGCGTTTACGATACCGGTGACGGCGTATTTTGTTGATTTGCCAGATAAAGCCAAGAATTGTTGCGCAATTTCTACTGCTACTCGTTGCTGAGCTTCCTCCGTGCTGGCACCTATAATTGAATAACCGTTAATTCCATTGTTTCTATAATGAGGCGTTTAAAAAGATATTAGATATGGAAGAGAACATCGTGCGCGTTCATTTGCTACAATTAATGACACAGTTAAAAACAAAAATAGTTTTCCAGGAAATAAGTTCAAAAATTTAAATTGTTAAAACTATTATATGTATTTTAATTTTGAAATGCAATTTTGATGTAATAACTAATGATTGCAGGAATAAAAGTATTAATTAGCATATATCAATTATTACATTATAATGACGACTTTTGGGACATGTCTAAAAGATATTTAAAAGACATCATAAAATCCTAGACAATTTGTTGTTTGAGTTAATTATGCTCTTGGCTGCGTTTTGTTTCTACATGCAATTAAAAACTCAATTTTCGAATCATGTCGCTGTATAGTAAATGAGCAACATGTTAAGTTGTATTACTATAATATTTAAACAGGCTGATGAAATATGAAGGAACATGAGATTAACGTCGAAATGATATAATTAAAAGGTTATCGTTTTAATGTGATAATATTTGCGACATATATAAATTAAATAAAGTATTATATGTACATACCAAGATGAGGTGTCGGAACAACTTTTGGATGTTTGATGAGTTCTAAAGTGATTGCATTCTTCGGCGGCTCCTCCACGAAGACGTCCAAAGCCGCTCCGCCACAATGACCGGATTTTAATGAATTCAAAAGAGCCTCCTCATCAACAATACCACCACGTGCAACATTAACGATATACACTCCTTTCTTACATTTTGCCAAGGTTGTTGCGTTGATCAAATCTGCAAACATGCACGATTAAACATACATGCATTCTTTTATACTATTTTATAGATATAAGATATGATTCTACACGATTATTTTTAATACAACGCAATTCTTTTCGAAATAAAGAATTATTAAGATCTCTTATATAACGAGTGTAGATTTCAATCGACAATTTTTTTACAGTCTTTAATTAATAATAACTTTACACGTATGTATATGTATATAGCTGTACAAAAGTTAATATTAACTAAAGTTACTATTAATTTACAATTGCAGTTATAAAATTATTATAAATTAAAATTACTTTATCAGTTATTATTAATTTAAAAATATATGTTGCATAATATAAAAAATATCTTCTAAAGTTATTAAAAATTAGTAATAATTTTTAATAACTTTTCTAATAATAAATCGGCATGAAAGACGTTACGTTGTTCTTTTATAATTAAATTCTCTTCGAGATAAAGTTTCTGAGTATTTTAAGAAAAAAATGAAGAACTTCTCAGGTAGAAAAAGTGTTTTGAATCGATTCTATTCGGCTAAAAAATTCGCTACTTCGTGTAACTTTTTTCGTTTCGACAATCTTCTGCATCAAATTAATAGATTCAGATCGACCGATTCGTACTTCTGGTTTCAGGCATGAGCGGTGTGTGTACGGTGATATAGTCGGCGATGGGCCATATTTCCTCCGTGTTGAGGTTTCTGATGCCGAGCTGGGCGGCGATCTCATCCGTCAAAAACGGATCGTAGGCAACGATATTCATGCCGAAGCTCTGCATTCTGTGAGCCACCTCGCGGCCTATACGACCCGTCCCGAGGATCGCGAGGGTCTTGCCAGACAGCTCGTATCCAGAGTATAATTTCCGGTCCCATCGACCTTCCTTCAGCGACTGTGCAGCTTGCGCGACGTTGCGCGCGAGCGCGGAGATCAGGGCGCATGTTAACTCGCAAGCGCTAATGCTATTGCCTCCTGGAGTGCTGTAATTATTACAAACGATAAAATTATGCGATATATTGTAATTGTTACTTGTAGGCTTTGTCACGAAATCATTATGATAATTTAATCTATTTTAATCGCTTATTTTTCGTGCTACTATATAAATTTCGTCTCAATTACAAAGATGAATATTCAAGATTCATTTAATTAAATAATTCTCGTAGACGTTAATTAACCGAGCTAATAAAAGAAATTCTATTTTACTGTTTGATGAGCAAACCTGTACCAGCAAACTTGTTATATCACAAATTATTGGAAAACTGTTCTGAAAGTCTTTCAGGCGAGAAAAAAAAGTAGCTTCGATTGAGAGGCAGAGTTTTAAACCGCAGCTCTTCTCAAATCGATTTTTATTTATTTATTTTTTTTTCAGCAAAACGCCAAATGGAAGTTTTACGCTTAAAATTGATGTACACTTGAGAAGAGCTGTTAAAACCAAATTGCCTCCTAATAAGAAATCTATTCTACTACCTAATTTCATTATGGAAAAAAATTTTTATAGACAAAAGTATGAGATACACGTACTTTAATACAATCGCTCCTTTACGTGTGGCAGCTTGAAGATTAATGTTGTCGACGCCGGTACCAGCTCGTCCAACCACGCGGAGATTTGGGCAAGCAGCGAAAATATCTGCCGTAACTTTGGTCTCGGATCGTACGATAAGAGCATCATGATTCTGTTGAACAAAAAGAGAATATACATTTTCATCTTCTGTTCAAGAAAAATTGAAAAATATGAGTTCAAATTTTATTTAGTGTAAATCATAGTTTGGTTTAATGAATCTATATTGGAAAAGCAAGAAGCGATAAATTCGGGATTATTGCAGTTTAGAAACGTATGTATATTTACTTTTGTTATATGATTTTTTCAAACGCAAAAGTCAATTTTGGAATTTATTTAAGTCATTTAATCTAAGTTAAAATTGTCAATCACGATCATTTAAAGATATTAGTGGCAAAAATGCAGCGAGTTCCCACATTGTAATAAAAAATCATTTCGTATATTTTTTAATAAAGAATATTCATCTAAATATCAAGAATTTGTATTATTAGATTGTATATGAGTTTCGATTAAAATGCAGCAAGCTTCCACGTAGCAATGAAAAATTGCTTTGCATAACTTTTAATACAGAAAATAGTTATATAAATATCAAGAATCTATAATATTAGGTCCCGTACGAGTTTCAAGTCGACCAAATTTATTCATGCTTTTCAATATATCATGAAAGTAAAATTAGATCTTATCGAATTGCCCCGGATCTTTCTGGTTTTCTTTAAAAAATATGTTCTGAATTTATATTTTTCTATCAAACGCGATAAGTGAAAAGAGATGCATAGACGTGAATTATATCTGTGGCTCTATGATTAGGAAATATGATTCAGCTCATTGCTTATGGAGACTACTGTTTGTGAACTTGTGCAAACTGGTTACTAAACTTGCGCAAAGTGGAAATGTATTCCATGCCTAATCAGCTCGGGCTTCAGTAATAATTATCCACATAAAAATGGAGATAAGGATAACATGTGGTCGCATAGGCGTTCATCGACATTATTTTCATTAATTGGGACACATTTACATAGAATGATCACTGCCGAAAACGACGTTATGTAATATACGTTGAACACGTTTAAAAGCTATTTCCTGCACCAATTAATATTTGTGACACGAAGAGAGAGATATTTTTTATATTAGTTTATAAATAAAGGAACAATCTTTAATTCCTATTTTTTTTGCAAGAAAAATTCAAACAAATACAAAAGAAATGAAAATAAGAAAAAGAATTTTGCTAATGTTATTCTTCAATTTTGGCAATTAAAAATTCACAGCTTCAATTAAATCTCTCTTCTATATAACAATCCTTTCCAATTAATTCACTTTTTCGTATAGAATTTCCATCTTCTCTCTTCAACCGTTATAAATAGAACTGCATTTACACAATTTTCTTTTTC